GGAAATTTTTCTTTGATGTAATGTTGCAATTTCAAAATTGTTAAGTTCACCAATGCTGAATTTTGTAGGGGCGTTTGGTGTTTAATTTTGAATTTATCTGTATTCTAAAGTGAGACTTTTTCTTTTTTGTTAGATATGAACCAGAGCACATCACCCCGACACGTGCCAGTGGACGTGTTTCACTGATGCAATGGTTTGCCATGTCCGGGGACCTTGGCGGCATTGCAGTATTAAACTGCCCTCCGCACATGACCGCCGCATTCTACCGGTATTTACCATTTACTCATTTTAATATCGCCCTCTAGGTCTAATTTCACTAATCTATACTTTCACTATCCCGGCACGAGATTGTCGCTAACAGTACTGCTACCTAAAAATTTGATTCAGGGATCAGAACACTAGTTACATTGAAAAGCGAGGGTAGCTGTGGACAGTTCTACATTATTTCACTCTGCTTCTTAAATTCCAAGGCGATACGTTTTTCGAGATTATTGAAGCAATGTTTACGATTTGTTTTACAATATTTTCTTTCTTTCAACAGTGACTATGTCTTGGAAGGAACCCTGGTGCCTCAGATGGCTGAAAGAATAGGGGCGGATACGCCCTTCAAATTTGTGCAAGACAATGCGTCGATCCACACGGCAGGAATTGTGGAGAATTGGTTTGATAGGCAAGAACACATTGAAAAGTTGCCGTGGGCACCATTCTCACCTGACCTCAACCCTATTGAGAATTTGTTTGGGTTGATTGCTCTCGAGTGGGACCCAAGGTTTGAAATGACACCTCAGGCCCTGGAAGCTCACGCCATCGAAGTGTATCAAGTCGAAGTGTATCAAGCCATCCAGAGGAGACCTCAGATGTTCACTGCACTGTCATCTTCAACGCCAAGGCGCATCCAGCATCCAGCAAGTCATTGACAACAATGGAGGATCTACTAAATATTAAATTCAATTCTAATAAGTGCAAAAATGATTCGTTTCTTGTAAAAGTAGTCATTTTCATTCGCCCATAAAATAACCCCTCCCCGCGTCCAAAAAACAGACAACAACTTCAAATAAACACCGAAGCACACCCGTATGTCGGCTTAAAATAGGACTAGAAAACTACTCGCTGGTTTGGTCGGGTGCTTCTCCACGCCTATCAAACAGTAGTAGCCAAGTTTGCCACAACGATAACACCCTGCCTACCGATTCAATTATATCTGTGTAAATTCAAGTACTTTTGCGTTCGAAAACTTGGCTGCCTAGGTGGTAGAAGCGGCGACGTGCTCGCGCGAATACGCTCTGCCCTTGGCAGGTCGCCTCGACAAAGCCTATACAGGGTTGACCAGAGCGAAGCCCTTCCCTTCCTGAATTTGCAGGATTATAATGATGCGCGCCGTTCTAGCCAAAAATACCCGACGAATAGCTTCTAATAGTGCTAAAAAATTCACAATGATTGCCAATTGCCCACGCATGTCGGACACTAGTAGCCAGGATATCGACTTGAAAACCGTTCATTTATCGGTACTCGTTATACCTTAGAGGACTTTTGCGTTCAAAATCAAGGCTGCCTGGGTGGTAGAAGCGGTGGTGTGCCCGCGCGAGTATGCTCGACCCTTGGCAGGGTTGACAGGAGAAGAGGCTGTCCGTCCCCGGAATTTTAGTAAACTACTGCTGCAAACCGTTTCAACGGAAAATACCCTAATGCCTGGTTTAAAGAGTGCTAGAAAATACTCGATAAAGTATTCTGCCGATTTCCCAGGCCTGTCGGACAGTAGTAGCCAGGATATCGACTCGGAAACCGTTCGTTTATCGGTACTCGTTATATCTTGATAGCTTTGAGTAGTTTTGCGTGCGAAAACTTGGCTAACGGGGTAGTAGGAGTGGCGTCGTGCCCGCGCGAGTATGTTCGGCTCTTGTCAGGTCGCCTTGATAGAGCGCAGCCAGGGTTGATAGGAGAAAAGGCTGTCCATTCCTAGAATTGCAGTAAAGGACTGCCGCAAATCGTTCGAACGTAAAATACCCGAATGCCTACTTCGGAGAGTGCTACAAACTACTCAAATTTGTAGGCTGCCGATTTCCCACGCCTGTCGGACAGTAGTAGCCAGGATATCAACTCGGAAACCGTTCGTTTATCGGTACTCGTTATATCTTGATACCTTTGAGTAGTTTTGAGTGCGAAAACTTGGCTAACGTGGTAGTAGGAGTGGCGTCGTGCCCGCGCCAATACGTCAAGCCCTTGGCAGGTCGCCTCGTTAGAGCGTAGCCAGGGTTGACAGAAGAAAAAGAGTCCATTCCTAGTAAACGACTGCGGCAAATTGTTCGAACGAAAAATACCAGAATGCATTCTTCGGAGAGTGCTACAGACTACTGAAAACTGTAGGCTGCCGATTTCCCACGACTGTCGGACAGTTGTAGCCAGGATATCGACTCGGAAACCGTTCGTTTATCCGTACTCGTTATATCTTGATACCTCTGAGTAGTTTTGCGTGCGAAAACTTGGCTAACGGGGTGGTAGGAGTTGCGTCGTGTCCGCGCGAATACGCCAAGCCCTTTGCAGGCCGCCTCGTTAGAGCGTAGCCAGGGTTGACAGAAGAAAAAGAGTCCATTCCTAGTAAACGACTGCCGCAAATCGTTCGAACGAAAAATACCAGACTGCATGCTTCGGAGAGTGCTACAAAGTACTCAAATCTGTAGGCTGCCGATTTCCCACGCCTTTCGGACAGTTGTAGCCAAGATATCGACTCGGAAACCGTTCGTTTACCGGTACTACTCGTTATATCTTGATACCTTTGAAGTTTTGCGTGCGAAAACTTGGCTAACGGGGTAGTAGGAGTGGCGTCGTGCCCGCGCCAATACGCCAAGCCCTTGGCAGGTCGCCTCGATAGAGCGTAGCCAGGGTTGACAGAAGAAAAAGAGTCCATTCGTAGTAAACGACTGCGGCAAATCGTTCGAACGAAAAATACCAGAATGCATGCTTCGGAGAGTGCTACAAACTACTCAAAACTGTAGGCTGCCGATTTCCCACGACTGTCGGACAGTTATAGCCAGGATATCGACTCAGAAACCGTTCGTTTATCTGTACTCGTTATATCTTGATACCTCTGAGTAGTTTTGCGTGCGAAAACTTGGCTAACGGGGTAGTAGGAGTGGCGTCGTGTCCGCGCCAATACGCCAAGCCTTTGGCAGGTCGCCTCGATAGAGCGTAGCCAGGGTTGATAGGAGAAAAGGCTGTCCATTCCTAGAATTGCAGTAAACGACTGCCGCAAATCGTTCGAACGAAAAATACCCGAATGCATGCTTCGGAGAGTGCTACAGACTACTCAAAACTGTAGGCTGCCGATTTCCCACGCCTGTCGGACACTTGTAGCCAGGATATCGACTCGGAAACCGTTCGTTTATCGGTACTCGTTATATCTTGATACCTTTGAGTAGTTTTGGGTGCGAAAACTTGGCTAACGGGGTAGTAGGAGTGGCGTCGTGCCCGCGCGAGTATGTTCGGCCCTTGGCAGGTCGCCTCGATAGAGCGTAGCCAGGGTTGACAGAAGAAAAGAGTCCATTCCTAGTAAACGACTGCCGCAAACCGTTTCAACGGAATATACCCGACTGCATGGTTTAAAGAGTGCTAGAAAATACTCGATAAAGTATTCGGCCGATTTTCCACGACTGTCGGACAGTAGTAGCCAGGATATCGACTCGGAAACCGTTCGTTTATCGGTACTCGTTATATCTTGATTGCGTTCAAAATCTTGGCTGCCTGGGTGGTAGAAGCGGCGGTATGCCCGCGCGAATAGGCTCTGCCTTGGGCCGGTCGTCTCCATAGAGCGTAGCCAGGGTTGGCAGGAGACAAGGCTTTCTTTTCCTGAAACCAAAGTCAACTACTACCGCGCGTCGTTTTGACTCAAAATACCCGACTAATAGCTTCGGATAGGGTTAGACACCACTCGCTGATGTAGTCTGCCAAGTCTCCGGTTCTGTCTGACAAGGGTAGCCTAGTTTCTCAGTATTTAAGACCCCTATTTTCGAATCCTTGGCTACGCTTGGCTACCATGGTTTACAGTAGCATCGGTGTGCCCGCACGATTTTGCACTGCCCTGGCCTGTCTGTTTGGCATTGTTGTAGCCAGGCTCTACACGAGATGAGCCCGGCCGTCCCTGATGTCGTCTGCTAATTCGCGTATTTTCGGCCGAAAATACCGTGTTACCTGTGAAAGCGTCGGCGACTTTCCTTTTATGGGATGATGCCACCTGCCGAGTCTCCTGCTCGGTTTGACCACAGTGGCTGCGTCCCTCGCTTTGAAAGACACGACTTTCATTCTTGTTATGATCTTCACACAACACTCCGCGTGTGACGTGACGACCCCGAGCCCCCGCAGACGACACCTGGGACGACTAACCTCTTAATCAATTATATCCGCTCTCATCGCTGGTATTTTACTGCAATTGCGTTTTCACGGGTAAAATATTCCAATTTCAGCCCACCTCTATTTTAAAACGTGGCGTGAGCGACTACTTGGTTTATAGAAACTATTCTTTATCATTATCTCATCATCATCGATGGTTCCTGAGCGTTATTCACACTCCGGCCTGCCCCCCCACAATGCACAGCAAGAGGCACCCCGCGCGAGACTACGAGGTACGAGGCCACCTTTCCTGCCCATTCCGCCGGACAAAACTTTTGAGACTGATAGTACTGTGTACATCGCTACTACGTCGCCGCCACGCGGGCGCAGAGCGGTGTAACGCACCACTTTGCCGCAGGAGCGCCGCGTTCACATCAAGGTTAACCATGTAAGTCTTCATAACAAACTGTAAATCTACCACTGAACCAACTACAGTAAGTTATATCGCAAAGCAACCAATGGAACCCCTTAGGAAACAGTATAACTCAACCTTTGTCCCGGACAGTCTAACCTTGCAGGCAGATAGCGACAGAGGAAAACTGCGTGTTTTGCAGCAAATCTCTAGGTACCTCAGATAAAGATAATTGCCTCCTTGATAACCATATCTCATATTCGCATTAGTCTTTGGCCTATAAAAGGGGATGCCAAAGACAAGGATTATTCTATTCTGTAAGTTCGATTCAAGAACGAAATGGTCGCCCCCTGGAATTTAGTGTTGGGGTCAATCGTTCTGTTTCTAAGTCAGACAGCGTTTGCAGGTAAATATAGACACAGGTATCACTGTAAAAATAATTATCGTGATTTTACGAAATTTTCTCGGTTAATGTTCTAGTGCGAAAACGTCGTTTTAATCAATTATGATAAATCGTTATTTTACGAATTGCTTTGTAAAATCCAAATCTCTAACTAAAAAAGTAAAAATTTGTATATATTTTGTCAAATTTTATGATTTTTGAATGCCAAAAACTTGCATCCGTTACGAAGTATATTTGAAACCTAACGAGACACTGTTAAAAATGTTATATAAATTCAAAACATTTTTGTTATTCATTTTAATAACATGCGTGATTTCATAACTGGTGTTGTAAATAGGAAAAATTTAATAACTGGTGTTGTAAAAAGTTACAATCATAATATGAAAATTCATAGGAGTTGTGAAAATTAAGAAATGTTGTAAATTTACTCAACAGGATGTAACTTTTATGAAACGTTTCTGAAAAGTCATAATGGTTTAAAGTTCAAAAATTATCGATTTACTGTACATGTATACTACTGTAGTAGTCCTACAACTATTCCGCACGCGTATAGATAAGTACAATAAAATAAGAATGCGCAAATTACGAAATAGGACGGGAAGCTAAAGTCGATGTTGCAAGCGTTCGCCACCAGATGGCGTTTTAAATCTTCTGGGAGTATTGAGTACAAATAAGTGTCTATATTCTCTAACGTTATCGGAGTTTGAACAGTTTTTGGCTTTTTCTGAGTTAGGACGGTTATCCTAAAATCGTCTGCATCTTTAACGTTAATATTCAACACATCGAATGGCGTTGTCGCTTAGTAACACTTAGTTCGCGCTGATTGGCTGAGCGATTAGCGAAGCCCATAACTCCACTGACCGGAAAAGTTTCATTCTGTTTGTCTGTCTGTCTGTCTGTCCGCACGATAACTCGAGAAAGAATTGAGATAGCGACCTGGGATTTTCAGGGTCGTTTTGTATCATAAAAAGACAGATCGAGTTCGAAGATGAGCATTCTAGCTCAAAAATTGACTTTAAAAAAAATCAAAAACAAAAGGTTGCAAAATATTTATTTTTTTCAAATATTGTTTTATGGGCTTCTAAGAGGTAACTCGTGAAAGTAGAACCCTTTGGGCGAAAATGTCGTCCGTTTTGCTCTATCTTGTACCGTTTTGGCGCTATGGCTCATTTCTTGGCGAAAACAAGGTGAAGAAGACAAAATGGTCTAATAAATCGTAAAAAAGGCTTCATGGCACAGAACTGAACAGGGAACAATATTTAAACCACACATTAAGGGTCGAACCACACCCTCTTTTGGGCTTAAGCGTCCCTAGATTATCTAGTATCACTAAAACATTGCTTTTTACATAACAATCTGTGAAAATTCGAACTTAATGAAAATTGTCACGGAACAGCAGAAGTTTCATGTCCCTAATTTTAGAGTAAAAAGACCTCGACAAATGGTTCCAGTATGTCAAATTTTGGGCCCGGAAGGCCCTGTTCCCACCCTCCTTAACTCGTCTCGGGTGTCAGCGCCGCAGGCCTAGCTATATGTGCGCCAGGCGCGTCGCAGCGTAACAGAGTTTCGTGAGATATCGCGAAGCCTGTTACGCGAGACGTGGTCTGGCGTACATATAGCTAGTGATATAGAACGGCCTCTCAGTTAGGGTGCTGACCCATCACCCTCGAGTTGTGCCTGTCCCTTCGTAAGAAGCGAAGCATCAGGCACAGCAATTTTCATCAACTGGCAACTCTCAAGCTTGACAGTGTCAGAATTCAAGTATATTTGCAGTAAAATCCCCGGAACTTATTTCAACGATTCGAAACTTTCACATCTCATGTTGTTACTTTCCACAACATGTTATGAAATTTCATAACATACATGTTCTAACTTTTCATTACATTTTTGTTATTTAATTTAATAACAATGTTAGTGTAAATGCTTCACAAAATTTAAGAGAAACAATTTTAACAGTGAATGTTTCGTAAATTATTTTAACAAAGGATTTCGTAACATTTATTTTGTTAAATTACGAAAACCTTTTACAGTGTAGAAACCAGTGGTCGGTGACAAGTGAAAGTGGGGTAAGTCCACTTTTTTCAAAAATCAGTTTTTTTGCATTTTTGGAAACTACTGTGCAATAAGAACCATGTGGTATAGTCAAAACTTCCCTAAGTGCAATAAGCCCAGTGTTATGGGGTCAAATCCCATGTCAATATGGGATAAGTCCGGTTGTAATTTTTCAGACAGGCATAAGTCCAAAACGAGGATTTTCCATAGAGGCATATGCCTCGTTGTGATTGTTGTGATTTGTCAGAATGGCATATGTCCATAGATCCAGAGGACTTATGCCATTCTGACAAATCACAACCGGGACATATGCCCTTTTCAAAAGTCATGCTTGTGGACATACGCAAGTGAAGAGGCATATGTCCGGGTGTGATTTGACCGACTGGCGTAGGTCCACAAGCATGACTTTTGAAAAGGGCATATGTCCCGGTTGGGACTTGTCAGAATGCGTTAGTCCTCTGGATCTATGGACATATGCCATTCTGACAAATCACATCCGGACATCGGACATATGCCTCTTTGGAAAATCCTCGTTTCGGAATTATGACTGTCTGAAAAAATTACACCCGGACTTATCCCATATTGACATGGGATATGTCAAATAACTCAGGTAGTGTACAACGTTCATTAACACTAGAACCGCGGCAGGGGTCATTTTGACCCTTTTTGATTTTCAATTTTTAATTTCTATTTCTTGTCGGGTTGAATATTTTTGACATCGTGTTAAATGATGACAAATGTATCGACACAAAATCCCGAAGCTGTACGACTATTTTTGTGGAAGTTGTGAAAAGATATACCTAAAACCGCGGCAGGGGTCATTTTGACCCTTTTCGACTTTCAGTCTATAATTTCTATATTTATTTTTTCTCTCGTCGGGCTGAAAATTGTTGACATCGTGTAAAATGATGTCAAAGATATCGACACGAAATCCTGAAGCTGTACGACTATTTTTGTGGAAGTTATGAAACAGATATGCCTAGGACCGCGGCAGGGGTCAACATGACCCCTGCCGCGTTTCGCGTCGAAAATGCTGTTTTCTCCAGATAAATAACACCTCAGAGCATACAGAATAATTATAGCAAAAAGCATTTAACGTACACATACTTGTTTCCAATACCATTCCCAGTGATAATTACTCCAAAGATTTCACATTTACGCGCAAAATGCGGCAGGGGTCAAAATGACCCCTTCCGCGGTTCTAGGTATACGAAAATGTCAGCGGTTCTAGTGTTAAAAAAATTAAATCTAGTCTTTCCTATTGCTAAACTGAGCTAGGCCAGGGTATTTGCTTTGCCATGTTGTCCAAATTACAGATACAAACCGTTTTTATGCTCTCCTGAAAAATCAGGTTTTTGGGCATACGACCTTTTCACTTTTCACCAGTGAAGTGTTTCGTAACGTTACCTTAACTGTTAAAGTAATTACTTCAACCGTAACCGAAACGTTTTACTGACCTCTGGGACGATAAGTTACAGATTTGTGTGCATGAGGCAGGGGTGGAAAATCGGAATTAAATTATTGGTTTAACTCCTTTTTGTTCGGAACACAACGTTTCATTCTCTCTGTTTCGTTTCGTTCGGAACGGAACAAAACCGACAATTTTTGCAATAGTTTCATTCGGAACGGAACTAAATCAAAAGAACAAAACTTTCGTTCGGAATTATTCATTTCGCGAGAATAAATTCAATCCTTATTGGCCACGTGGTAAGAGGATCAAAACGTTTTGTTCTTGGTCACTTGCCGGCGAACAACAGCAAGGGAGAGGGGGGGGGGGCGTCAGTATGACGTCACGATACTCTACCCTCTTCCAAACACACACACGCCTGCATGAGCGGACGCACACACGCGTACACGTGCGTGGGCGGATGCGTGTGTGTCGCGTGCGTGTCACGTGCGTGCGCAGATGCGTGCGCAGATGCGTGTCACGTGCGTGCGCAGGTGTGTGCGTGTCACGTGCGTGCGCAGGTGGGTGCGTGTTGCGTGCGTGTCACGTGCGTGCGCTGATGCGTGCGTATCGCATGCGTGTCACGTGCGTGCGTAGATGCGTGCGTGTTGCGTGCGTGTCACGTGCGTGTCACGTGCGTGCTCAGATGCATGCGTGTCGCGTGCGTCCGCACAAGCACGCACGAACACACAAGCACGTAGAAGCACGGACGCAGAAGCACACACACGCGCGAATGCAACAGGTCATAGTAGGCACCGATACGTTTTGTTCTTCCAATGACGTCACCAAAAGAAAGGAACTATATTTTACTCTTACGAACAGAAATGATCGAATCGAAACGCAGTTTTACTCTTGGGAGTTTTTCTCAGTTTTGTTCGCTGAGGTTTTGTTCTTTGTTTAGTTCCGTTCCTTTTCGTTTTGTTCCTTGGAATAGTTTCGATGGAACGGAACTATGCAGTATCGCTCCGTTTCGATCAATTGAATTCCGATTTTCCAGCCCTGGCATGAGGGGGCAAAACTAGTTCAGATATTGAAAGTTCGAATGTTAGGACGCAAACGAGCTTATTTAAATCCGTGTCCGACGAATGTCAGATCACCATGTCAAAACCTCTAACTTTAACGCGAAAATTCCAACGTCTTGCGTTACGTTATAGAACAAACATTATTATACGTTGAGTTACGGTCCCCTGGTGGAAACAGTTAGTACTCTATTGAAAATTGGGTACTGGACCTTCCGTAAGAACGAAATCTCCCGTATTTTTAAGGTACGGACCGCTCCGTAGTCATTATCGCAATGTCAGTTTCTAACAGTAGGAGGTGTGAGAAGTGGAGAGATCATGATTGATCTAGGCAGTTTAAAGTGTTGTAAATCTAGAATTACACCGTTTGAGACAAGTTTTGAAAGTTGGAAAATCACATTACATTCCCGATTTCTGTCTACCTGAACCACTCTGCGCTGATGCGCCGCAGTTCCGTTTTCAACAAGTTTTATCACAGCTTTGGGTGGGCGCATCGACGTCGTGCACATTGCGTCAGGGGGTCGTTGGGCTCCGGCCGGGAGAGGGCCAATTGCTACAGTGCTGAACGTTGTAGAAAGTTTGAGATAAACCGCAGTGAGTGCACACATGACACTGCGAAAATCTGAAAGTTTGAGAAATTTTGCTTGGGATAGGCTGCCTCCTCATGAGCGCGTACAGTGAGGGCTCACTATAGTTCCGCCTGGCATAGTTCCGCCGGTGCTCCCTCCCCGCCAGGCCTGGATCCCCCACTCCGAGCGAGAAGCGGTTCCCCTCTCCTCCTCCCCGCCCCCTTCCCCCAAGCCGCTAGCAGTGTGAGCGAGCGCGCAGTAGAGGAGTGGGGGACGCCGCTCGCTATAGTTCCGCCTCTGGCGACCCCACTCACCAACTCCAATTCTGAACCCGAGGCGGAACTATAGCGAGCACCTACTGTAAAGATGACCTAGGGTTAGGGGCCGATCGGTACGCTCGGCTTTATAATCGTTATTTTAGGTATGCGAGGTGCTGGTTCGACAACAAATACCTAAAAAGCACTTCACCAATAAGTCTCTTACCTTTTTATCGAAGGCCTAATGTGGTTCGGGCATTATTTTGTCTGAAATACTGAAAATATTGGAGCAGTGCGACAGGGTCTCCCCAGCGCTCGCTTATAGTTTTGGTTATTAACGAGATAAAAGACGCGTAAAAGGAGAGATCTTGTTAAATTCCAGATGCTTGTGACCTGCGGCAACGTATTGTAATTGTAAACTTTCCTAAACGATTCTTGCATTGGAAAGTATTTTAAGCATAGCTTATCTGCAGTGAGGAGCACTGAGCGTTGGTTTGAACGGCCGGTTCGCGCCATCCGGGCGGTGACTTCCGGGCTCGCGCATGGGCCGCGCTTTCAGCACTGCGATGCGACCACTGGTTCTGTACGAAAAAGCGTGCGTTTCTAAACGGTATACTCGGTTTTGTTCTAGAAACTATGGGTCCTCTAAAATTAATAAAGCAAAACACATTTCGATGCCTTCTAACGACAAAGTCCGATGTGTTGCGCTCCCGTTACACAAAGTTCGATCTGTTCCGCTCCCGTTACACAAAGTTCGATCTGTTCCGCTCCCGTTACACAAAGTTCGATCTGCTTTTGACCGCTCTCGGGAGACCCAGGTTTAGAGCTCTACCGCAGTTGTGTTGTTGTAGCATTCAACTTTTTCTTTAGAGTATATTGTTCTTCAATCTTTTAGAAACAGACTGCAGCTTTTACTTTTTTTCTACCGGCAATATTAGCAAAAATATATACATAATAAGACCGCGATGCAGACCGGAAAGCAGATCGAACTTTGTGTAACGGGAGCGGAACAGATCGAACTTTGTGTAACGGGAGCGCAACACATCGGACTTTGTGTAACGGGAGCGAAACAGATCGAACTTTGTGTAACGGGAGCGGAACAGATCGGACTTTGTGTAACGGGAGCGAAACAGATCGAACTTTGTGTAACGGGAGCGCAATACATCGGACTTTGACGTTAGGAGGCATCGATTTGTTTTGGGCGCGCTACACTAGCATGCCCCTTCCCCTTAAAGTGATCTCACCTGAAGTACAGTACGCGCTAGTGAGACGAGGAACTTGCCTCCCCGCGAAAAACCGTCCATGCCAAAAGTCAGCCTCTTAGCCAGCGACCCTGTGCAAAATCTGGGCGCTACCAGACAGCGCTTTCCCGACCTGGATCACATTTTAAGTTGGGAACTGGAAAAGGCCGCGAAAGAGACCACCATGCTTATCCCCAGCTGCACTCTGCTGGTGCGCCTAGGAACGACGGGGCAAGGGTAAGGTGAGACCCTATGAACCCTACTTCTCACCAGCTGAGGCGAATCCAGTGTCAGAGCAACCGCGTAAGTATCGTGACAGCCTATGTCACGTTCGACTCATCAGCTTTGTGTTTTTCGGTGTTATTTCTTTGCGCATATTAGGGCTTTACCATGCCCACACCAAAACTGTTCTTAACGCCAGGTAGCGCCAGCGCTCCGATAGGATTTTTCGAAAAAAGGGTATTTGCTTCTGTGCCGATGTCAGTTAGGCCACCCACATTGCACGCCTGTATAGTTTTTGGCCTAGCTAACAACCGTTTCCAAAATAATTTGAATTTTCACCACAATCGCGTCAGCGCTACCCGGTGTTTTTGACTGTTTTATTCTTAGTATGGGACACCCCTGATGTCCGGTAAATAAAAACATTCGAAACTGCCAATTTGTTCCGTCAAACGTAACAAGGGCTATCGCTACACTTACGCCCTCTAGAGGACGCATTTGCTCTGACACTGGATTTACCTCAGCAGTTATTGGGAAAGGGTTCATAGGGTCTCACCTGACCTGTGCCCCGTCGTTCCTAGGCGCACCAGAAGAGGGCAGCTGAGGATCAGAATGGTGGTGCTCTCTCTCGCGGCCGTTTCGAGTTCCCAACTTCAAATGCGATCAGGGCCGGGAAAGCGTTGTCTGGTGGCGCTCACATTTTGCACAGTGTCTTCACAAGTTCTATACGATTTTGAGAGGGTGCAACCTCGATGACTTACTTTTTTTGGTTACGGGCTAACCAACACTAGTGTTTTAAAATACCGGTAGAGTTAAAAGTGGACTTTACGTAAAGTACGGTATAGTACGGTAAAGTGCGGTAAAGTGAGTAAAGTTTTATTGGCTGAGCGATTAGCGAAGCCCATAACTCCACTGACCGGAAAAGTTTCATTCTGTTTGTCTGTCTGTCTGTCTGTCCGCACGATAACTCGAGAATGAATTGAGAGAGCGATCTGGGATTTTCAGGGTCGTTTTGTATCATAAAAAGACAGATCGAGTTCGAAGATGAGCACTCTAGCTCAAAAATTGACTTTTTTAAAAATCGAAAAACAAAGGTTGCAAAATATTTGTTTTTTTCAACTATTTTTTGATGGGCTCCTATAAGGTTACTCGTGCAAATAGAGTTCTTCGGGCGAAAATTTCGTCCGTTTTGCTCTATCTTGTACCGTTTTGGCGATAGGGGTCATTCCTTGGCAAAAACAACGTGAAAAAGACAAAATGGTCTATTAAATCGTAAAAGATTCTTCATGTCATAGAATAGGGTGTTCCAGGCTATCTAAAACGGAAGTGAAAAAGAACAAACTCACTGATTTATCTGTTTCCGTCCGCCAAGTATGAGAAACTACCATGGCATTTTGGTCCGATCCTAACCTCTCAAATATGGAGGGGAGCTCAAAACTGATCTGACAGTTTCTCATACCTGAAAGGCCTCGGAGGCACGTGATAAGCTCGACCAATCAGAGCCATTACGGAAACAGAGAGGTCAGTGAGTTTGTTCTTTTCCTACTTCCGTTTTAGATTGCCTGGAACACCCTATTGTAAAGGGATTAATACTTAAACCACACATTAAGGGTCGAACCACACCCTCTTTTGGGCCCCTAAAGTCCCTAGATTATCTTGTATCACTAAAACGTCGATTTTTACATAACAATCTGTCAAAAATTCGAACTTTTAATGAAAACCGTTACCGAACAGCAGAAGTTTTATATCCCTAACTTTAGAGTGAAAAGGCCCCTACAAATGGTTTCAGGATGTCAAATTTTGGGCCCGGAAGGACCTGTTCCCATATACCGTCCCATTTGCTCGTCTCGGGTGTCAGCGCCGCAGGCCTAGCTATATGTGGGCCAGGCGCGTCGCAGCGTAAAAGTGTTTCGTGAGATATCGCGAAGCCTGTTACGCGAGACGTGGTCTGGCGTACATATAGCTAGTTTTAAAGTAATTCAGGCCAATTTTCTATTTCTTAATGCAATCTTAGGCTTCAGGGGTGCAAAATATCGAAAAATTAGCACTGTATCATTGCAAACAGAACACTTTTCATTAATACTGCAATGTAGAGCTAGGGTCCGACAGATCCTTCGAGCAAAATGAAATGCAACCACCATTTTAGTACTCCAAGCTACGCATCCTGGTGCTAAGTGTTATCCAAAGCGTCCATTTTGCGACTGTTTTGGGCATCCGTCTGCTTCAGCGCATACGATTAAGCCAAAATTACGTTTGAAATAGGGTTGGCTACAACAATGAGGATTAATGCCACTCGACATAATACCGCAAAAACACAAAACCTTCTAAAAAAACAAATGGGTTTTCGGTTTGATTTGGGCGCCTCCAGGGTGGCATGCGGGTGTCCGCGTGTGTTCAGATCACGCACCAGTTCTTTTAGACTTGTTTTTGACTTACATGTCAATTTTGATGAGGTTGTAGTGCTTTTCCCCTGGTAGGTAGGCAAACGCACTTTTCCAAGATTACCAACTTTACCGGTTGTTGGGTAGAGTACCGTACTTTACCGGTAACGTTACCGGCCGGTAAATCACTAAGCAACACACCTCTCAATACAAGCACTTTATATGGTGGGCCCTGATGCTTGAATTGTTTTTGTTTGTTTTCTGAAACAGAGACATGCGGAACCAACTTAACCGCAAATTCGGGATCCATCATCTCCCCAGGATTTCCATCAGATTATGACAACAATCTGGATTGTGATTGGTACATCAACGCTCAAGGTGCTATTTCTTTTTACATCTCGTCCGCTGCATTCGTAACAGAGGTGAGCCATTGTCTTATTCCACGAGATAAGATGGTAAATATACCCCAGACCATACGATATATCACGGACTGTTATGCGTCTGGCTCACATATATCGGCCATTGTATACGGGAGACTGGGGTCCCATGGTGCGCGTTTTCACAAATCTCTCTTGGGGGCTCATTTAGCATGTCGTCATTTCCTCCCCATGGGCCATAGTTTAGCCTTCGACCTTCCCGAAAATATCTACCTTGACTTGATGCTATGCGAAATGTGGAGCTGCTAGAAGTTTCAACAGAGCTCTGCAAAAGCTGACGGGACCCCAGCCCAGGGCAGGCCTTCCCAGACAAGGCAGGGGTCTGTAACTTAACACGAAACTCCCCTTTTGCTGTACGTTATCCGTTAAAGTTATTGGCTGAGCGATTAGCGAAGCCTATTACTCCAGTGATGACCAAAAAGTTTCGCGTCTGTCTGTGTGTCTCGCGTAACAGGCTGCGCGATATCTCACGAAACACTGTTACGCTGCGACGCGCCTGGCGCACATATAGCTAGGCCTGCGGCGCTGACACCCAAGACGGTGTAATAAGAGTGTATATACAATTTTTCGAAATGAAGTCTTTTTAACGATTTAATCGACCATTTGATCATTTTCACCTCATTTTTGCCAAGAAATGCCCCCTAGCACCTAAACGGTACAAGATAGAGGCAAACGGACGAAATTTTCGTCAGAGGGGCTCTACTTTGACGAGTTACCCCATAGGAACCCATAAGAAAAATATTTGATAAAAATACATACTTCGACCTGTAGTTTTTGATTTTTTTAAAAGCCAATTTTTGAGCTAGAATGCTCATCTTCGAACTCGATCTGTCTTTTTATGATACAAAACGACCCTGA